GGATAGGCTGAAGGCCCCAAGAGGGCGGACCAGACTTGTCGAGGCTCGGAGAGTGGACCAGGCCGACTGAAGGCCCGGTGTGGGCGGACCAGTCATATTGTAGACTCAGAGAGTGGACCAGGTGGATTGAAGGCCCGGTGCGGGCGGACCAATCACACTGTAGACTCGATGTACATGGCTAGACTCGGAGGGTGGACTAGGTGGACTGAAGGCCCGGTGCGGGCGGACCAATCACACAGTAGACCTGAAGTGCATGGCTGTTCTATTTGTGATATGTTATGAGTATGTGTATGTGTGGTTGGTATTTTGGGGGTAACTCACTAAGCTTTCGGGCTTACAGTTTCAGTATGTTTGTTCAGGTACTTCAGGAGATCGTGGCAAGGCGAAGGCGTGATCGTACCGCTCCTCATGTTTTATGATTTATGTGATATGGTGCTGGGGGATACTCTGATGTTTAAACTATTTTGAAAACGAGATGTATGAACTTAATGGTTTTTGAATGAATTAAAATGTTTTAATTTGGCTCAATTTTTATGGGTGTTACATACTTAGACGAAATCATCGTGAGACATGGTGTGCCATTAAAGATTATTTACGATCATGATACTCGCTTCACTTCTCACTTTTGGGCGAGTATGAAAAGTGAATTGGGATCTCGAGTTGCTCCCAACACAGCTTATCATCCCCAGACAGATGGTTGGACGGAGAGAACAATCCAAACAGTAGAAGATATGCTTCGTACATGTGTCTTAGAGTTCGATAGTGAATGTGAACACCATTATGTTGGCATAATGTAGGACAGAAAATCCTTGGTGGTCGTGAAATGATTCAAGACACCACTGATACGATTCAAATTATATGAGAAAGAATGAAAGTAGCCCAGGATCGACAAAAGACCTGTGTAGAAATGGAGGAGACGATCCATAGAATTCCAAGTGGGTGATACTGAAGGTAACCCCGTGGAAAGGTATTATGAAATTTGAGAAGAAAAGGAGATTGAGTCCTAGATTTGTTGGTCCTTTCAAAATCCTCCAGAGAATTGGTAAACAAGCATACCGCTTGGAATTGCCTGAAGATTTGGCAGGTATTCATTATGTATTTCATGTAAGATATCTATGTAAATGCTTGAGCGTATATGATGAAACGGTTCCATTATCCGAGGTGAAACAGGATAATAAATTAAGTAGAAGAGATCGTAAATGAAAGAACGACTAATCTACGTAATAAAGAAGTGATGTTGGTGCTTGTCAAATGGAAACACCATCGAGGCCCAAATTATACTTAGGGAAAATAAGAATGAAATATCCTCATTCGTCTAAATCGTTGTGATTTCGGGGACGAAATCCTCAAAAGGAGGAGGTATTTGTAACATACACGTTTTGAAATCGTGTTATGTAATTTAAAAAGTAAATAATATTATGAAATATTATGTGATATTGAGTATTGAGTTCTAACAGATAGTTTTTACTAGAAATGAAGTAAAACTATGTTTAGAATCACTCATAAAATATTGGAAGTCTTATGAGATTCCAATTAAAAGCCAAATAGTGAAATTTAGTGAAAACATAAAATTTGAAATAAGTAAAATTTTATTATTGAAAGTTGTAGATAATCTCGTTAGAAACATGTAGACGAAAACCTCGTCGAAATCCGAGTTATAACGAAGAAGTTATGACCAATTGAAGATCCACGACAAAACCGGCACGGTGCCGAATGACGTAAAAAGTGAGTTTTTGATAAACTACTTTTTAGCCTTAGTGATCTAAATGAAAGTCGTAGTATTCGTTAAACCGAGAATTTTGATAAAAAAGAACGCCAAAATCTGACTTCGTATAAGGAAGTTATGATTTTTCTAAGTTTCAGCTTAGTAGTAGACAACTAAAAACTCGAATTTTAGATCGAGTGATTTTTAGCCGACACAACCTAAACGAGAATCGAAGGTCTCGTCATTAGCAGTACAACGGTAAAAAGTCTGACGAAAACGGACGTCGGATAAAGAAGTTATGAATTTTTAACGGATTTACCAGTCCCGGTCAGTTAAAAATAATAATATAAAAATAAATTCAAAATTTTCAGACGAAGTCTAAACGAAAGTTGTAGAGCATAATTTTTTCTACGCGTGCATATAAAGAACGTCAAAAACAGAGCTCGTATGAGAAAGTTATGGATTTTACAAGATTGGGCACATTTTTCGAGAAATTTCGCATGAATAGTGCTGCCACGTCACCCTCGCTCGGAGTTGGCCACGTGTCCGAAGCAGCTGCGTGGCGCGTCCGAGAAGCGATGCGTGTCGCACAGGTGTCTGAAGTCTTCACGTGATCTCGCATGATTTCCTCGTGTCCGACCCAAGTGTAGCCTCCTGATTCGACCGAGGCTGCTGACCAATCCGAAGCTCGCAGCTGTCCGTCCGAGCCTCGCCCTGCTGCCACCTGGTTCGAGCCTCGCAGACACGTGCCCATCCCTCCTCGCTTCGGATCCAACCCTCGCACTGTAAATAGTGCATGCGAGATCTCCTAGGTAAAGTTTAGAAACTTGCCCTTTTTCACCCTTTTTCCACATTTTCTTACATTCCGACTTCCCCCGAAGCCCCGGGATTATTTCCAACGCCCGAAACACGCCCTAAATTTCCCGAGAAGCCCAAAAAATTTATCTTTTCGGTTTCGAAGCCTAACCCTCGCAGGGCCCGGTTTTCAACGAATAAAGTCATATTTAGAGCCGAAATGCTGCACAAATTATTATTTTGACCCCCGGTTATTTCAAGGTGAGTTTAATATATAGGAACAATTGTATGTTATGTGTTATATGTGCTATGTGCTTTTCCATGATTATCATCTCGAGTTATTATTTCCGCTATTTTTATAGCAAGGTTGTACCTTTGACTTGAAGTGTATGACATAGACATCACTTGGGTATTGGTATGAACCGTTGACCATGAAGTGTATGACATAGGCATCACTTTGCTTCGGTAGTAGCTAAGATAAGGCTGAAAGACTAAATATTCTAGCAAAATGATATTCCTGAGTATTTTCTATGCTATTTGTGCTGAAACTTTATTGATTTTATATCAAGTATGGAAATTGTTATGTCTCATTGATTGATATGGAAAGCTTTTCGCATTATGCCTTTGTTGTTCCTTGTTCCTCTTTGCTTCTGCCATATTGAAGTATATATATGGCATAACGTTATATTGTATCTAGTATTGAACTCACTAAGCGTCACCGCTTACCCTCTCAATGTTTAACAAATTTGCAGGAGATAAGTAACTAGTGTAGTCATATACTGTTGAAAGGTTTAGAATAGTTGTAATATTACTTTTGTATTTAGGGATCATGTATGTATAAAAGTATAGTATCCTGGGTAGTTGGGTAATATATAACACTTTGTAATAGTCGGTTTGTATCCAGTCGTTTGTAAACACTTTATCAATGTAAAATATTGTTTTTATGAATATGCAAATAGCATATTTTGAAGTAACTATATTGTCAAATAAGAAAGTTTGGGTCTTTCAGAAATATGAAAGTCAAGAAAGGGGTTCTTTCACCATCTAACACTTCAAATACTTCTCATATGTTACACCCCGATCCCTTTAAGTTTACAATAGCTTTCACATCGAAATTATTATAATTATGCTGCAAAAAACACAATAACATATTAGAAAACTAAACAACTATTTCATTTTAAAATATATGAATATTAAATGCAATAAAAACATAAACAATAATAACAATGCAAATACAAATATTTAATACATAATTTATATATTTACGCTAAAAAACAATAACATACTATAACAATTTTTCAACTTAAACGGTAAGTATATAAACAATTTCCAAGTTATACGACAAATATACAAACGATTTTTATCTTTCTAATTATATCAAATAATAGTTTCTAACCATATAAACAAACAATTTTTCAACTAAAACGACAACTAAATTAACAATTTTTTCAACTTATACGACAAATATACAAACAATTTTAACTTTCAAATTATATAAATAACATATTCTAACCATGCTATATCAATTTATCAACTTAAACCACTAACCAAACATATTGTAAACATTATTCTAACAATTTATTTAACTAATAACTTAAAAAAATAAGCATATTCTAACCATTTTACTAAATGTACAACTACCCGATGCACACTCTACGCAGTCTCTACTGTACATTCATACACCCTAACAAAATAACATTTAAACTTCAAGTTTACTAATAACAAATATTAAAACTATCAAATACAACAAAATTACCCTATCACAAACAATATAATTTCTTCTTTTTATACTAACTAATACAATAAATAATAAAATAATAAAAACATATACTAAATAAATGTTAATTAAAACATAAAAAGAGTTAAAATCTAACAATATTTTCGGGATTGTTGAAGTAATCGTCTATTTTCTTCAAGAAATCGTCAAAAGGAATCCCCGAGAGAGAGAGTTTTTCTATATTAAAGAGTGAAAAATGAGGAAAAAAAATCGTTTTATAGATTTTTAGAATGAAAATCGCAGATGAACAGTACAAATCGCAGATGGAAAGCCAAAATCGCAAATGGGGAATTTCCATCTGCGAATTTAGAGGTTATTTTTGCAATTTCTATTTTTTTGGCTATTTTCCGCAAAGTGATTAGTATTATTGGCTAATTTTGTAATTTTATCTAAATATTTTAATTTGCAGTTAAAGATACAAACACATCAATAACAGTATATTTTATTTGATATAGATACCGCATAAAACTCAGATAAAATATGAAATGACAACTTTATCCTTTAACAATTGTCAAGAAAATTAAAACAGAAAAAAGAACTTTGGCAGATTCTTATAAGAAGTCTCCCCATCCCTAACCCTACGCTAAAGCTTACTTGATAATTGTTATATTAAAACGTCTCTAAGCGAACCATATCTTCACTCATCTCCATTTTTCAATATTTGAATCAAATGGTTCATTGTTTTTGAGGGCAAACACCATTGAAGAAATCTTCAATTCTGAAATGGATCAAGAACAAGAACAAATGCAGTTTCTTGGCTTTTTTGGCATCTTCAAAGAAACCTTCAAAATCATCTCAACTTACAAAGAAATCTTCATCAAAATCTCTCTCTCCATCATCCTCCCTCTCTCCTTCATTTTCTTGGCTCATATCGAAGTCTCTGAATACCTTTTCGGAAAAATCTTACACAATGAAGATATTCGTGATCAAACCCCACAAAACACCAGAAAATATAATACGTTGTCTGATATCATCTCTTCCGAATGGACCTATTTTTGGGTGTTTAAAGTTGCTTACTTCATCTTCTTCCTCGTCCTATCCCTCCTCTCTACCTCAGCTATCGTTTATACCGTAGCATGTATCTACACATCGAAACACATGAATTTCAAGCAAGTGATGAGCGTCGTTCCAAAGGTTTGGAAACGATTAATGGTCACTTTTGTTTGGAATTTCATCATCTTTTTTGTGTTTAATCTACTGGCGTTGGTGGTATTTGCCTGCTGGGTTGCATGGGTTGATTTTACTAACACTGGGGTTTTGATTCTTATCATTTTAGCCATTGTTTATGTGGTGTTGTTTATCTATATCAGCGTTGTCTGGCACTTGGCTAGTGTGATTTCGGTTTTGGAAGATGATTATGGGATTCGGTCGATGTTAAAGAGCAGAGAGTTAATCAAAGGGAAGACTGGTGTTTCAATGGCTATATTTTGTTTTCTTAACGTATGTTTTATCACGATTCAAGTGGGGTTCGAGTCACATGTGGTGATCGGAAAAGATTCGCTCGTGGTTAGAACAATCTATGGGAGTCTCTTTTTCTTGTGGCTTTCAGTATTGATTCTTTTCAGCCTTACAGTCCAAACTATCATTTATTTCATCTGCAAATCTTTCCATCATGAAAACATAGATAAATCATTGTTGGCTAATCATCTCGATGTTTATCTTGGGGATTACTTACCATTAAAATCAAAGGATGTACAACTTGAAATTTTCAATATATAGAATGTAATCTTTATTACTTCACTTTTTTGTATGATCATCATATCATGTGGGATCGGGCCGATCCTGGAAAAAATCCAAGATGTATCATACATGATTTTGGGGGAAACATATTGGAAATTTTTCTAAAAATTTTCCTTATGCCAGAAGATTTAAGGAGCGCCGGCTACTCCTAGAACCCTGGCTGTATGTGACGATACTTCATTTAATTATTTTGAGCATTTCTCTTAATTAAGTTACTTTCTCTCTTGTTTGTTACATAATTTCAGGTCCAATCAACTCTCTCATTATATATATATATATATTATATATATATATAATATATATATATATATAGATATATATGAGAAATTAAATTGTTTCCTACCTTTTATGCCTACAATTATTCCTACCCACTAATATATATATATATATATATATATATATATATATATATATATATATATATATATATATATCTTCTAATCAAGGGCGGTCCTAAGAGATTAAATATCGTCAAAGGCCCTAGACGAGCCAGGAAAAAAGGTCCCTTATCGTTATTATAAGTTTTTATTTTTAAATAAAAATATATAATATAACAAATTGGGCCCTGTTCAGCTGTCCATTTTGCCTCATTAACGCCCTCCATGTTTGTTATGGCATTGTGTTGATACTACTATAATAACTATTGTTAAAAAAAAACTCAGATAGGGTAAATGGTTAACCTGTTGACCTCTCAAGTTCGTTACACATGCCTCTAACATGTCATCTAAGGTTTGAATTATCCTTTCACTAAAACCATCAGTTTCGGGATGATATTTGTACTCATTTTAACTTGTGAACCCATTCCTTCTGGAAACTTTTCTAAAAATATGATCTAAAACAAAGATTCCAATAAGATACAATCGCTATTAGTATGCCGTGTCTTGAAAGAATTTCATATATGTAAATTTTGGCTAAAATTTTCAATGTTTGTTTTTCCTTGATCAACGAAAAAATGTATTGTTTTGGTCAATCACGAAAAAAATTTCAATGTTTGTTAAACCTTGTTACAAAATTCATAGTGATACGTTCTCATTTCAAATGGGTATATTTATTTGTTGTAACCTTCTGTAAGGTATTTAAGGTATTTGGCGTTCGATATTAACCTTTAAACATATGAGACACTTTGTAACATAGTTGGTTATTAACTTCATCATTTATGGAAATATAAAAAATTTAAATCTTTGTACATCTTCTTGTTTCCGGGATAGACATAATACTTGGACTTGCATACTTCATCCAAAATTACTTCCATGAATGATGAATGTTAGTCGCTAGTAGCTTGAATTGTCCAAAAATTGTTTTTCATTTTAATTGTCTTGATTAGTGTTTCCTTTTGTAATTCTTGAACTTGCTCAAATAACTTATTTGTAGCAACAATTTGAATGACTTAACATTAGGAGGTTGATTTGGTTCTTCCGACTCAAGGCATCAAGTATTATATTTTTCATGAATGGTATTGATTTCTTATCATAATATTTTAACAATTTGATCCAAAGCATTTGCCTTGTAAATAATTCATTTTCATTGAATAAATACTTGAGATTTTTATGATCTTTATACTGTACACATTTCGAACAACATAAGTAATGTGTCCATATTTTTAAAGCAAAAACTACATTTTTAGCTTTAAATCAAGTGTTTGCTATTCTTTCTTGTGTTATTTTACCGTTGTGATTCAAAGGAAATTACATGAATTCTTTGCAAGAGCACATATTTTAAGTCTTCATTGGATGCATCATTATATATTATGAAGTATTCACTTTCCTTTGGAAATTTTAAAATTAGTGTCGTACTTAACTGTTGTGATATGACTCCGGATTAACTCTGTCTCTTTGAAGAACAGAATGAAGGGCCTGAGAATCACAGAAAAGAAAGCAAGCTCGTCAGTCCTCGTCTGGGCGGCAGTCCCGGATCGAAGCTTTGACGATCAAGTCAGTTCGTCTCTTAGAGAGAAGGTGAGAATATTAGGTAAGGGTTAGGAGGTTTATTTCATGGCCCCTTCTCTTGGAGGAGAAGGGACCTTTTTATACATGTGATCGGAGGAACCAATCCCCGACAGTATCTTTTACCTTTTAGGAGTCACAGAGGAAGACGGCCTTTGATTGGTAGATCATGCTCTGCGAGTAGTTGCTTGCCATTGGTGCAGGGCTGCCAGGAGCGACGTTTTGACCGCTGCACATGTCGCTCTGAGGGGCGGCTAGTACTATTTTGTCTTCACACTGGCTTTGGCGTTTGGGCGCCAAGGAATGAATATGGAATCGCGAGAGGGAGGGCCCGACATTAGGCATACGTCGGTCTTTGCCCAAACCGTCTATTAGACTGACGGTTCCGTTATTTTTGACGTATTCTCGGTGGGATACGTTAACAAGTTCCCTAGGATAGTAGACGTCAGCGATTGCTTAGGGTAGCTGAGTAGTTCTAGCTTAGATCTGGGCATGCGTTTGGTGGGAACGACCCATGACATGTAATAGAGTCGCTCTGGCGAGATAGCGTCGTTTCGTTCCGTTTTTTTCTTCTTCTCTTTCTTCTTCTTCTTTTTTATTTTTTTTATATAAGGGTCCTCTGTCTTTAAGAACGGTTATACGCTTCCTATTTACATAATCCACCGTATCATCCTCTATTATCATTTCTCATTTCTCCCACATTTTTTCTCTCCAATTCTTGGTGGGCTTTGTCAGATCTGGAATCGCTCCCACACCCGAGGAGTTCGAGTCCCTTCAATTCTGGTTTGGGTTCATGCCTCAGCATGGAGTTTAATTCCCGTCGGAAGGGTCTACAATTTATCAACCACCAGCGGGGAAGGTGGGTATTCCGGTAGCGATCTTCGAGGTCGGGTTTCGGCTTCCTGTTTCTGATTTCTTCGACAAGGTTATGTGAGAATACGGTTTCGTTGTTCATGACATGACCTCAAACGTTATGAACAACATATTTGGGTTTGAGTTAGGGTGTCGAGCGTTGGGGGTGCTTCCCCATCTTCAAGCATTCCAGTCTTTCTTCAATTCATCTACCCATTCAGGAGTTCACACTTTCTCTCAACACCGTAACACGCATTCCTTTATAGTTAACCAGAAAGCGCCTCGAAAGAACTTGCAGGATCGGTGGCTGTGGGTTAACAATGATTTGGTTAGGGCTGGCTATCCTCACGTGCCCATGGCTTCGGATCGGGCACCCCAACTGTCGGGGGTCGATTGTTCGGTGGCTCGCACGTTAAGAGGAATTTGTTTTAACGGCGAAGATTGGTCGGACTGTGTATTGGCAGCATCCAAAATGAGTTTTGCTTGGTGGTCAGGTGGAAAGATGCCTCACTTTTTTGTGGATAATGATGGTAAGTGCTACCTTCTGGGAGGCAGTCTCGGATCGAAACTCCGACAATCAAGTCAGTTTGTCTCTTAGAGAGAAGGTGAAAATGCTAGGTAAGGGTTAGGAGGTTTATTTCACGGTCCCTTTTCTTGGAGGTGAAGGGACTTTTTTTTACCTGTGATCGGCGGAACAAATCCCCGACAGTATCTTTTACCTTTTCAGGAGTGGCATTGGAAGACGACCTTTGATTGGTAGATCATGTTCCGCGAGTAGTTGCTTACCATTGGTGCAGGGCTGCCAGGAGCAACGTTCTGAGCGCTACACTTGTCGCTCTGAGGGGCAGCTGGTATAATTTTGTCTTAACATTGGCTTTGGCGCTTAGGCGCCAAGGAATGAATGTGGGATCGCGAGGGGGAGGGCGAGAGCTGGGGCCCAACATTTGGCATATGCTGGTCTTTGCCCAAAATGTGTATTAGACTGACAGTTCTATTATTTTTTGACGAATTCTCAGTGGGATACGATAACAAGTCCCATAGGCTAGTAGACGTCAGCATTTGACTAGGGTAGTTGAGTAGTTCTAGCTTAGATCTGGGCACGCATTTGGTGGGAACGGTCCATGACACGTAATAGATCCGTTCTGGCAAGATAGCGTCATTTCGTTCCATTTTTTCTTCTTTTCTTTCTTCTTCTTTTTTCTTTTTTTTATATAAGGGTGCTCTATCTTTAAGAACGGTTATATGCTTCCTATTTCCATAATCCGCTGTCTCATCCTCTATTATCATTTCTCCTTTCTCCCATATTTTTTTCTCTTCGATTCTTGTTGGCCTTTGTTATATCTAGAATCGCACTCACACCTGAGGAGTTCGAGTCCCTTCAATTCTGGTTTGGGTTCATGCCTGAGCATGGAGTTCAATTCCCATCGAAAAGGGTCTACGATTTATCAACCACCAGCAGGGAAGGTGGGTATTCCGGTAGCGTTCTTTGAGGCCGAGTTTCGGCTTTGTGTTTCTGATTTCTTCGACGAGGTTATGCGAGAATATGGGTTCTATGTTCACGAATTGTCCCGAAACGATGTGAACAAGATAGTTGGGTTTGAGTTAGGGTGTCGAGCGTTGGAGGTGCTTCCCTATCTTCAAGCATTCCAGTCTTTCTTCAATTCGTCTAACCATTCGGGCGTTCACACTTTCTCTCAATGCTGTAACACACATTCCTTTATAGTTAACCAGAAATCGCCTCAGATGAACTGGCAGGATCGTTGGTTGTGGGTTAATAGTGATTAGGTAGGATCTTGCTATCCTCGTTTGCCCATGACTTTGGATCGTGCACCCCAACTATCGGGGGTCGTTTTGTTAGTGGCTCGCACATTAAGAGGAATTTGTTTTAACGGCAAAGATTGGTCGGACTGTGTATTGGCAGCATCCAGAATGAGTGCTGCTTGGCGGTCACATGGAAAGATGTCTCAGTTTTTTGTGGATAATGATGGTGAGTAATACCTTCCCCCCCCCCCTTTTTCCTTTTTTTATTCGATATCGACTTTCTTTTTCTGAAAAGAAGGGGGTTTTGCGTTGTTGTCATTGCAGGTAGCGAGAGGTTTTTGTCCCTTGAGCAAGTGCTGCGAGGGGATTTTGAAGGGGATCTTCAGTATCACGATGTCCCTCAAGTGGAGACGCTACCGACACCAGCCAAAGTTGGCCATGTTTTTTAGGGCAGTGTCCCTCATATCGAGGCGGGGGTCAGAGGATCAGGTGTAGCTAGTGGTAAAGTCGTCTCCCAACGTCAGTCTATTGGTGTGGATTCCGCTCTTGAGGAGGATATTGGTGGTAGTTCTATTGGTCGGAGTTTTCGTCGGAAACGCAACATCGATCCTCTGTTTTCTAAGTCCCCTGTTGTTATTGAGATTGATGATAATGACGAGTCGCAAGCGATGGAGACGGTGAGTTTGTGTCGGCCGGGGGAACCCAGGAGTTGTGGGAACTTACTTCGTCCAGCCCTCTGTTCCAGGTGATGGCCCCGTCGGTGGCGGGTCCTTCGTCTTTAGGTGCTACCGGTATGTATCTCCCTAGGTGGAATCTCACGACCGGTTCCCTTTTGTATGAACAGGGGCCCGCCTCTGAGTGGTGCCAACATGCATTTCCTCCGACTACCATGGAAGTTCTTGATGCTCTTTCTTATTCTCACATGGCGAACGATCTTCATTATGCCGCTGGTCTGGTTGATCCCTACTTGGCGGTGGCTGATGGTCGTCTTCGTTACATAGGGGTTGATTTAGCAGAGTTGGCTGCTGTTAAATCCGAGCATGTCGAGCTTGCGGAGAAATATTGGCTTCTCGAAGAGGAGCGACGCAAGTTTGATGAGCGCTACCTCGTGCTGTCTTGGGAGAAGACTGTTGTAGAAGCTCAGGTGGCGACTCTGGAGGTTAATCTCTTATCTCAGCAGGTCCAAAATTTGGTATTGGAGAAAGAAGCATTGGAGGAGCATTTGACACTGCGAGACAATCAGTTCACCGTTGAGGTCTCGACGAGGAAAATCTTGGAGTCTGATTTAGTGTGGGTTCTCTAGAAGGGCTGGTTCGTCTGGTGGACCGTGTTGTCGAGAGTAGAGAGTTCTCGCTTGGGATTAGCCGCGTGTTGCGTGTGTGGCTGCTGGTATAGAGAGGGGGAAGCAGATGGCACGAGTGTAACTTGCTAGCAGTAGCCATGGCTCATCCGATCTGGACTTTGCGGCACAATCTGTTGATGCAATGCATGCTGCCATCAGGGCTTTTGCCGAGACGTACTTCGCGTCCTATCTCTGTTTGGGCGAGCTCAGGCTTGCTGATCTTCGCCAACTATGTTCTCAAGAGGAGGAACTCGTGCCAAATGGTGGCGTTGAGGGCGCTGCCTCGACTCAACCTTGCCAGGTTTGATTTTTGTTGTGTGTTTTTGTATGTTTGTTGTTTATTTTTCATTTTTTTGTATGTGCTTTCTGTAATGTTGTTGCATTCGACCTTGCGGGGTCTTCATCATTAATGTTTTCCCGTCCTTGCGATCTTCTTTTTTTTATTTGGGGAGGTGTGTCCCCGAAGAGTATTTTATAGGCCTTGCTTTTGGTCTTTAGCTGAGTGGCCAATTTCCTCTCTTTTTGTGGTCACTTAAGGTGAGCCGAGATCGTCACCTCGAGACTCCCTGGACTCATGTGTGTTAAATTATCAGGGGAAGGTTATGATCCTTCGGACCCTTTGGGTACGTCTTGAAGAAGATTTCACCAACATTCTCTCATTCTGGAAAATCTGAATTTTATCCAATTAAGTGTTGATTTGTATCATCGAAATACTTCAGTTTGGTAGTGTTTCATGACTTTCATAGAATCCAAGCAATTCTTTTCATCCCTAATTTCTAACACAACTTACATAACTATTTCATCAGGCCCATGAACACAGTTGGTGCATTTGTCAAATCAAAAATCATGATTAAGAACTCGTAATGTCTATACCTTGTTTGGAATATTGTCTTTAGGATTTCTTTTCTTGTAAACTTAATTGTTGATATCCTGAATGTAAGTCTATTTTAAAAATAATTTTCTCCTTTTAATTGATCAATAACTCATATATTTGTTGTAAGGGATATCGATATCCGATTGTCTGTATTTAGTTATGGATATTCAGTGCACAGCCTTTTGGTTCCATCCTTCTCTTTGACGAACAATAGTAGTGCTCCCCATGATGATGAAGGAAAGTGAACCATTTATCACTCAATCCTTTTAATTAGTTCGTAAGTTCCTTCATTTCATATGGTTCAAGTTTGTATGGTGCTCGTGTTATGGGTACTGCTCTAGGTATCCAATAAATAAAAAATTTGACTTGTCTATCAGGTGGAAATATGTGTAGATCATTAGGAAAAACTTATAGATGTTCACAAACTACTCATAACCCTTTGATTGAATGTTGGATAAGTTTCACATCCCTTACATATGCACATTATTTCCTTCAAGAATGAAATAACGTTGTCATGATTATTTTTGTTACTACTAGAAATAATTATTTCCTTTCTCTTTTAATCTTTAATTTTCACCATCCTTTTGTTACAATTTATATGATCTTATTGTTCAACAACCAACGCATACCCACTACAAGATCAAGTTCCCTAATAAGTATCATTAGAAGCTTAATAGTTTTTATTAAGTAATCATTATAAACTTCATCTACTTATGTGATTCTTCCACCTGTAATTTCTACTTCAAATACTTGATCTAATTTCTTAGAGGGACAAGTGAAGTATACGTTGAACTTTATGAATACCATATATCTATTTGCACCTAAATCGAATAGTTCTTTAGTAGTATCTTCATTTAAAATAAAGTACATGTCACTATTATTTTTGTCAAAATTTCATAAACAAAATCGGTAACCAACCTAGTATGTGTAATGAATGTTTTTAGGTACAAAGTTGATTGTAAACTGTTGAAGATTTGAAATATGTTTAAGATCTTGGATGCGCCAAATATCTTGGGAATAAGACAATAAAATTAATATTTCCAATGTGATTGTGATTTTTTGACTTATACTACAATGTAGATATGTGTATATTAATAAAACGGGACAAAAGTGATATTTAAGGTGTAAACTCATTGGATATAGTGATTAATCTTAAGATATTCAAAAAATGTCAATATACCTCAGAGTATCTTGAGGTTGTAATCATGAAAATAGTTGTGTGTAAGGAAATACATGATCAAGTATGTATTGAAATTGATTAAATAAAAATAAGTAAACAAAATAAACACAAGAACATAGAGATATACGAGGAAAGCCCTCAATCCTTTAGGATTTTTGACATAAAACTGTGATAGGTGACAATGTCACACTGCCTTAGAACTTTAATTAAATAAAATGGAGTTACATGTAGTAGCTGAGTAGAAAGTGTAATTGTGCTCAAGAATGTTCAGAGATAATATGAGAGTGAGAATCAAAACATGTCCATGAATAGTTATCAACTAGTCTTCGTATACAATATGAATATAACAAATTGTTGTAAAATCTAAGGATCTTCCTTGATCTTTTTTGACCCGGTGTTTAGAGTGGACTTCAACATTTATTCTCGTTTAACAATGTGCCTTTTGTCTTGGTCTATGCTCTTTTAGATAAGTCTTCATTCCTGCATTCAAGAAAAACAAGAAATACAATGGTAGTCCCAATATGTTGGCTAGTTTAAGATCTTGGGCTACCTAAGATATCATTATAAGTTCAATGTTGGTGAGAAATGAGTAAAGGTAAAAATTACCCATAAAAACCACGTATTGTATTTCCTTTGTGTTGTAAAATATTAAGTATATTATCGTTATTGAAATAATATGAAATTTCTCTACATTTTGCTAACAAAAATCATGAGCTATTTCAAGATGAAATGAAATCAAGGAAAATTCTAAGTCTGAAAAGGTAGTAAAATTGCATAAGTCATTGTTAGAACTAATTGAGGACATTTTTGTAGTTTAACCTATTTTCAGTTACATAGTTTTCTAGTAAATGTTATTTTGTTTTGCTTCTTTTCCTTATTGTATATATGTTGAGCCTGTATTTCTTTTCTTAATCAATGATACATATCATTTTTTGAAATTCATTTTTCTCTCAAGTTCAATCAAGTTAACATGGTATCAACGTAGACGTGATCTGATTCTTCATCTTTGATATTGTTTCTTGATTCAATTCATACTCTATTACTTTTTTTTTCTTTCAATGGCTGAATTTGAATTCAATTCTTTTGGTTCTTCTAATTCAACTATTGATCATTCAAGCCCTTACTTCATAAGTTCATCTGATTGAAACATCCCAAAAATACGGTCCAGAAATTTTAGTTTAATTCATTAATAAAACCATAGTAATCCAAACATCATATAAAAACCATAAGTCGTGTATCTCAAAATATCATAACATCTGTCAAAATATATCAAAGTATAAACATCCCAGGATAAATAAATGGTGTGTTCACTGCAATCATCCCGAGCTCTTCCCCTTGCTACCGGAAGTACCTGAAACCCCAACTCAAAACTGTAAGCACGAAGCTTAGTGAGTCTCCCGAAACTACCACATACCATACACATAACATGCAACTAGGAGATACGGGCCTCGCCCACACTCAATGAGATACGGGCCCCGCCCACACTCAGCAACTATGAGATACGGGCCCCTCCCACACTTAGCCACTAGGAGATACGGGCCCCGCCCACACTCAGCTACTAAGAGATACGGGCCCCACCCACACTCAGCTAGTCATGAAAATACATACAGGTATCACACAGACAACAAGTATAACTAAGCATATAATACTGTACCATATCATCTATCTATGAGATACGGACCCCGCCTACACTCCGATACTAATCATACCACATATACGGGCCGGCCTTGGTGCCGTAGACCCGTTCCTACTAAAGAAAACTCACCTCAATGTCGTGAATAGCTGAAATTCCTTGCTCCACAACTGGCTCTACTCACACCCAATACAGAACAACCTCTTAGATAACATTCCATGCTCAAAACCCCTTCACGGGTCAACCTTTGTCAAAGTCAAAGTCAAAGTCAAAGTCAACATCCTGGGTTGACTCAACTCGTCGAGTTGGTTCACCAACTCGTCGAGTTCCATGAATCATAAACCCTGAAATCACGATCCAACTCGTCGAGTTCTTTCACAAACCGTCGAGTTCCTCCTATATACAAGATCGGGACTTCTCCTAATCAACTGGTCGAGTCATAATTGAACTGGTCGAGTTTTGTCTTTAATTGAATCGGGACACTTCGTCCCAACTCGTCGAGTTCCTCTATGGACTCGTCGAGTTCTTCAGTCTGTTGCTTCATATTAATGGATTAAGCCCTTATTCTTCAGATCCTAGCCCTATACTCCACCTATACACTAAAAATGTCCTTTTAAGGGTAAAGTTTCCAACTTTACCCGTTAATACCCTTATATGATGAATCGAACTAAATCCCTAACTCTTTAGGACCTAGACCTTGGTACACAAGTCATTGATACTCAAAACTAAGGCATACAAACGTAGATCTACACCCTAAACACTACATAAACATGTAAAGCTTCCACCTTTCTCCTCATGCATGGCCTTTTGGGGCTTAAAAGCCCAAAATGACATCCTATAGCTTTCATGGGGCTTCAATGGCCATAAATTTTGCACCTTTACGCCATGAAAGCCCTCAATGACTCCAGATCTGATGGTTTACCCACTGGGGACATCCACAACCCAAAGATTAAGCTTCTTGGACCAAAAACTCAATAAAATGATAATAAGGAGATCTAAGAAGCTACTAAGCAAGTTTGAGGCTTGCTTACCAGAAAATGATGAGGATGAAATGGAGTCTCTGGATCTACAAGCTTCTTTTTGAATCCTCTAGCTTCTTCTTCTTCCTCAAACTTCAAACAGACAAAGCTTCACTCAAGAATGGCTCAAAAACTCACACAAGGTAGTAGGGTTTCTGGATCTAGGTTTTGCGAGTTGGAGGTTATAACTGAGGCTGGCATAAGAGGATTAGGATGCTTAAATAGGGTGCAAAACATTGGAATTGGGGTTTCATTTTGGAAGCCTTACTCGTCGAGTTGAGGCTACCAACTCATCGAGTAGACTTCAAACCCCGTGTCCAAAACTAATCCCTACTCGACGATTATGGGACCTCCAACTCGTCGAGCTCCTACATAGAAATGAATAAATTAATAATTTAAATACATACCAGGAACCAGGCGTTACAATTCTCCCCCACTTGTCTTAGACTTCGTTCTCGAAGTCTGCTGCCTCGAATAACTCTGGGTAGTGCTCCCTCATCTCCTCCTCTGTCTCGCAAGTCCACTCCGAGCCCTTACGGTGCTGCCACTGCACCTTCACTAACTGAACATCCTTGTTCCTCAAGGTTTTCGTCTTACGATC